AACGTATCTAACCCTGAAAATATCCACGTATCTCTCCACGTATCCAACCACGCATCTCTCCATATAACAATCCACGCATCCATTCACGGATCTATCCAAGTATCTATCCACGTATCCAACCACGTGTCTATCCACGTATCTATCCTGGTATCAAGCCACATAACAATCCACGTATCAAAAGATGTATCTATCCAGATATCAATACACGACTATATCCACGCATCCATCCACGTATATATCAACGTATCTATCCCAGGATCTATCCACGTATCTATTCACTTTTCAATCCAGGTAGCAATCCACGTGTCTAACCGCGTATCTTTCAACGTATCAATCCACTCATCAATCCACGTATCTATTAACGTATCTAACGCTGAAAATATCCACGTATATATTCACATTTCAAACCACGTATCAATCCACGCATCAATCCACGTATCTATCAACTGTTTATATCAACGTATATATCCTCGAATCTATCCACGTATCTTTTCACTTTTCAATCCATGTAGCAATCCAAGTGTCTAACCGCGTATATTTCAACGTATCAATCCACGTAACTATTAACGAATCTATCACTGAAAATGTCCACGTATATATTCAAATTTCAAACCACGTATCAATCCACGCATCAATCCACGTATCTATCAACTTTAATATACACGCATGTATACACGTATCCAACGAGGTATTCATCCACGTACCTATCAACATATCATTTCACGTAACTATCCACGGTTCTCTCCACCTATCTGTCCAGGTATCCGGCCACATAACTGTTCACATATCCAAAGACGTATCTTTCCACATATCAATCCATATATTTATCGACGCATCTATCCACGTATATATCAACGTATCTATCCCCGAATCTATCCACGTATCTATTCACTTTTCAATCCAGGTAGCAATCCACATGTCTAACCGCGTATCTTTCAACGTATCAATCCACTCATCAATCCACGTATCTATTAACGAATCTAACCCTGAAAATATCCACGTATCTATCCACGTATCAAACCACGTATCAATCCACGCATCAATCCACGTATCTATCAACTGTTTATATCCACGTATATATCCACGTATCCAACCAGGTATTTATCCACGTACCTATCCACATATCATTTCACGTAACTATCCACGGTTATCTCCACCTATCTGTCCAGGTATCCAGCCACGTATCAATCCACATATCAAAAGATATATCTATCCACATATCAATACACGTATATATCCACGCATCCATCCACGTATATATCAACGTATCTATCCCCGAATCTATCCACGTATCTATTAACTTTTCAATCCAGGTAGCAATCCACGTGTCTAACCGCGTATCTTTCAACGTATCTATCCACGTATCTATTAAAGTATCTAACCCTGAAAATATCCACGTATCTGTTCACATTTCAAACCACCTATCAATCCACGAATCAAAACCGATATCTATCAAATTTAATATCCCATATCTCTCCACGTATCCAACCACGCATCTCTCCATATAACAATCCACGCATCCATTCACGGATCTATCCAAGTATCTATCCACGTATCCAACCACGTGTCTATACACGTATCTATCCTGGTATCCAGCCACGTAACAATCCACCTATCCAAAGACGTATGTATCCACATATCAATACACGTATATATCCACGCATCCATCCACGTATATATCAACGTACATATCCTCGAATCTATCCACGTATCTATTCACTTTTCAATCCAGGTAGCAATCCACATGTCTAACCGCGTATCTTTCAACGTATCAATCCACTCATCAATCCACGTCTCTGTTAACGTATCTAACCCTGAAATTATCCACGTATCTATCCACGTATCCAAACACGCATCTCTCCATATAACAATCCACGCATCCATTCACGGATCTATCCAAGTATCTATCCACGTATCCAACCACGTGTCTATCCACGTATCTATCCAGGTATCCAGCAACGTAACAATCCACCTATCCGAAGACGTATGTATCCACATATCAATAAACGTATATAACCACGCATCCATACACGTATATATCAACTGTTTATATCCACATATATATCCACGTATACCACCGGATATTTATCCAGGTACCTATCAACCTATCATTTCACTTAACTATCCACGGTTCTCTCCACCTATCTGTCCAGGTATACAGCCACGTATCAATCCATGTATCAAAAGACGTATCTATCCACATATCAATACACGTATAATTCCACGTATCCATGCACGTATATATCAACGTATCTATCCCAGAATCTATCCACGTATCTATTCACTTTTCAATCCAGGTAGCAATCCCCGTGTCTAACCGCGTATCTTTCAACGTATCTATCCACGTATCTATTAACGTATCTAACCCTGCAAAATATCCACGTATATATTCACATTTCAAACCACCTATCAATCCACGCATCAAAACAGGTATCTATCAAATTTAATATCCAATATCTCTCCACGTATCCAACCACGCATCTCTCCATATAACAATCCACGCATCCATTCACGGATCTATCCAATATCTATCCACGTATCCAACCACGTGTCTATCCACGTATCTATTCAGGTATCCAGCCACGTAACAATTCACCTATCCAAAGACGTATGTATCCACATATCAATACACGTATATATCCACGCATCCATCCACGTATACATCAACTATTTATATCCACGTATATATCCACGTATCCCACCGGATATTTATCCACGTACCTATCCACATATCATTTCACGTAACTATCCACGGTTCTCTCCACCTATCTGTCCAGGTATCCAGCCACGTTTCAATCCACGTATCAAAAGACGTATCTATCCACATATCAATACACGTATATATCCACGCATCCATCCACGTATATATCAACGTATATATCCTCGAATCTATCCACGTATCTATTCACTTTTCAATCCAGGTAGCAATCCACGTGTCTAACCGCGTATCTTTCAACGTATCAATCCACTCATCAATCCACGTATCTGTTAACGTATCTAACCCTGAAAATATCCACGTATCTCTCCACGTATCCAACCACGCATCTCTCCATATTACAATCCACGCATCCATTCACGGATCTATCCAAGTATCTATCCACGTATCCAACCACGTGTCTATACACGTATCTATCCTGGTATCCAGCCACGTAACAATCCACCTATCCAAAGACGTATGTATCCACATATCAATACACGTATATAACCACGCATCCATCCACTTATATATCAACTATTTATATCCACGTATATATCCACGTATCCCACCGGATATTTTTCCGCGTACCTATCAACATATCATTTCACGTAACTATCCACGGTTCTCTCCACCTATCTTTCCAGGTATCCAGCCACGTATCAATCCACGTATCAAAAGACGTATCTATCCACATATCAATACACGTATATATCCACGCATCCATCCACGTATATATCAACGTATATATCCTCGAATCTATCCACGTATCTATTCACTTTTCAATCCAGGTAGCAATCCACGTGTCTAACCGCGTATCTTTCAACGTATCAATTCACTGATCAATCCACGTATCTGTTAACGTATCTAACCCTGAAAATATCCACGTATCTCTCCACGTATCCAACCACGCATCTCTCCATATAAAATTCCATGCATCCATTCACGGATCTATCCAAGTATCTATCCACGTATCCAACCACGTGTCTATCCACGTATCTATCCTGGTATCCAGCCACGTAACAATCCACCTATCCAAAGACGTATGTATCCACATATCAATACACGTATATATCCACGCATCCATCCACGTATATATGAACGTATATATCCTCGAATCTATCCACGTATCTATTCACTTTTCAATCCAGGTAGCAATCCACGTGTCTAACCGCGTATCTTTCAACTTATCAATCCACTCATCAATCCACGTATCTATTAACGTATCTAACCCTGAAAATATCCACGTATCTCTCCACGTATCCAACCACGCATCTCTCCATATAACAATCCACGCATCCATTCACGGATCTATCCAAGTATCTATCCACGTATCCAACCACGTGTCTATCCACGTATCTATCCTGGTATCCAGCCACGTAACAATCCACCTATCCAAAGACGTATGTATCCACATATCAATACACGTATATATCCACGCATCCATCCACGTATATATCAACGTATCTATCCGCGAATCTATCCACGTATCTATTCACTTTTCAATCCAGGTAGCAATCCACGTGTCTAACCGCGTATCTTTCAACGTATCAATCCACTCATCAATCCACGTATCTATTAACGTATCTAACCCTGAAAATATCCACGTATCTATCCACGTAGCAATCCACGCATCAATCCACGTATCTATCAACTGATTATATCCAGGTATATATCCACGTATCCAACCAGGTATTTATCCACGTACCTATCCACATATCATTTCACGTAACTATCCACGGTTATCTCCACCTATCTTTCCAAGTTTCCAGACACGTATCAATCCACGTATCCAAAGACGTATCTTTCCACATATCAATCCATATATTTATCGACGCATCCATCCACGTATATATCAACGTATCTATCCCCGAATCTATCCACGTATCTATTCACTTCTCAATCCAGGTAGCAATCCACGTGTCTAACCGCGTATCTTTCAACGTATCAATCCACGTATCTATTAACGTATCTAACCCTGAAAATATCCACGTATCTACCCACGTATCAAACCACGTATCAATCCACGCATCAATCCACGTATCTATCAACTGTTTATATCCACGTATATATCCACGTATCCAACCAGGTATTTATCCACGTACCTATCCACATATCATTTCACGTAACTATCCACGGTTATCTCCACCTATCTGTCCAGGTATCCAGCCACGTATCAATCCACGTATCAAAAGACGTATCTATCCACATATCAATACACGTATATATCCACGCATCCATCCGCGTATATATCCTCGAATCTATCCACGTATCTATTCACTTTTCAATCCAGGTAGCAATCCACATGTCTAACCGCGTATCTTTCAACGTATCAATCCACTCATCAATCCACGTATCTATTAACGCGTCTAACCCTGCAAAATATCCACGTATCTATTCACATTTCAAACCACGTATCAATCCACGCATCAATCCATGTATCTGCCCACGGTTCCCTGCACGTATCTATCCACATATCCAAAGACGTATCTATCCAGGTATCCAACCACGTATGTATCCACGTATCTATCCAGGTATCCAGCCACGTATCAATCCACGTATCCAAAGACGTATCTTTCCACATATCAATCCATATATTTATCGACGCATCCATCCACGTATATATCAACGTATCTATCCACGAATCTATCCACGTATCTATTCACTTCTCAATCCAGGTAGCAATCCACGTGTCTAACCGCGTATCTTTCAACGTATCAATCCACGTATCTAATAACGTATCTAATCCTGAAAATATCCACGTATCTATCCACGTATCAAACCACGTATCAATCCACGCATCAATCCACGTATCTATCAACTGTTTATATCCACGTATATATCCACGTATCCAACCAGGTATTTATCCACGTACCTATCAACATATCATTTCACGTAAATATCCACGGTTCTCTCCACATATCTGTCCCGGTATCCAGCCACGTATCAATCCACGTATCCAAAGACGTATCTTTCCACATATCAATCCATATATTTATCGACGCATCCATCCACGTATATATCAACGTATCTATCCCAGAATCTATCCACGTATCTATTCACTTTTCAATCCAGGCAGCAATCCACGTGTCTAACCGCGTATCTTTCAACGAATCAATCCACTCATCAATCCACGTATCTATTAACGTATCTAACCCTGAAAATATCCACGTATCTATCCACGTATCAAACCACGTATCAATCCACGCATCAATCCACGTATCTATCAACTGTTTATATCCACGTATATATCCACGTATCCAACCAGGTATTTATCCACGTACCTATCCACATATCATTTCACGTAACTATCCACGGTTCTCTCCACCTATCTGTCCCGGTATCCAGCCACGTATCAATCCACGTATCAAAAGACGTATCTATCCACATATCAATACACGTATATATCCACGCATCCATCCGCGTATATATCCTCGAATCTATCCACGTATCTATTCACTTTTCAATCCAGGTAGCAATCCACATGTCTAACCGCGTATCTTTCAACGTATCAATCCACTCATCAATCCACGTATCTATTAACGTATTTAACCCTGAAAATATCCACGTGTCTCTCCACGTATCTATCCTGGTATCCAGCCACGTAACAATCCACCTATCCAAAGACGTATATATCCACATATCAGTACACGTATATATCCACGCATCCATCCACGTATATATCAACGTATCTATCCGCGAATCTATCCACGTATCTATTCACTTTTCAATCCAGGTAGCAATCCACATGTCTAAACGCGTATCTTTCAACGTATCAATTCACTGATCAATCCACGTATCTATTAACGTATCTAACCCTGCAAAATATCCACGTATCTATTCACATTTCAAACCACGTATCAATCCACGCATCAACCCATGTATCTGTCCACGGTTCCCTGCACGTATCTATCCACATATCCAAAGACGTATCTATCCAGGTATCCAACCACGTATGTATCCACGTATCTATCCAGGTATCCAGCCACGTATCAATCCACGTATCCAAAGACGTATCTTTGCACATATCAATCCATATATTTATCGACGCATCCATCCACGTATATATCAACGTATCTATCCGCGAATCTATCCACGTATCTATTCACTTTTCAATCCAGGTAGCAATCCACGTGTCTAACCGCGTATCTTTCAACGTATCAATCCACGTATCTAATAACGTATCTAATCCTGAAAATATCCACGTATCTATCCACGTATCAAACCACGTATCAATCCACGCATCAATCCACGTATCTATCAACTGTTTATATCCACGTATATATCCACGTATCCAACCAGGTATTTATCCACGTACCTATCCACATATCATTTCACGTAACTATCCACGGTTCTCTCCACCTATCTTTCCAGGTATCCAGCCACGTATCAATCCACGTATCCAAAGACGTATCTTTCCACATATCAATCCATATATTTATCGACGCATCCATCCACGTATATATCAACGTATCTATCCCAGAATCTATCCACGTATCTATTCACTTTTCAATCCAGGCAGCAATCCACGTGTCTAACCGCGTATCTTTCAACGAATCAATCCACTCATCAATCCACGTTTCTATTAACGTATCTAACCCTGAAAATATCCACGTATCTATCCACGTATCAAACCACGTATCAATCCACGCATCAATCCACGTATCTATCAACTGTTTATATCCACGTATATATCCACGTATCCAACCAGGTATTTATCCACGTACCTATCCACATATCATTTCACGTAACTATCCACGGTTCTCTCCACCTATCTTTCCAGGTATCCAGCCACGTATCAATCCACGTATCCAAAGACGTATCTTTCCACATATCAATCCATATATTTATCGACGCATCCATCCACGTATATATCAACGTATCTATCCCAGAATCTATCCACGTATCTATTCACTTTTCAATCCAGGCAGCAATCCACGTGTCTAACCGCGTATCTTTCAACGAATCAATCCACTCATCAATCCACGTTTCTATTAACGTATCTAACCCTGAAAATATCCACGTATCTATCCACGTATCAAACCACGTATCAATCCACGCATCAATCCACGTATCTATCAACTGTTTATATCCACGTATATATCCACGTATCCAACCAGGTATTTATCCACGTACCTATCCACATATCATTTCACGTAACTATCCACGGTTCTCTCCACCTATCTGTCCCGGTATCCAGCCACGTAACAATCCACGTATCAAAAGACGTATCTATCCACATATCAATACACGTATATATTCACGCATCCATCCACGTATATATCAACGTATATATCCCCGAATCTATCCACGTATCTATTCACTTTTCAATCCAGGTAGCAATCCACATGTCTAACCGCGTATCTTTCAACCTAACAATCCACTCATCAATCCACGTATCTATTAACGTATCTAACCCTGAAAATATCCACGTATCTATCCACGTATCAAACAACGTCTCAATCCACGTATATATCCACGTATCCATCCAGGTATTTATCCACGTACCTATCCACATATCATTTCACGTAACTATCCACGGTTCTCTCCACCTATCTGTCCCGGTATCCAGCCACGTATCAATCCACGTATCAAAAGACGTATCTATCCACATTTCAATACACGTATATATCCACGCATCCATCCACGTATATATCAACGTATCTATCCGCGAATCTATTCACGTATCTATTCACTTTTCAATCCAGGTAGCAATCTTCATGTCTAACCGCGTATCTTTCAACGAATCAATCCACTCATCAATCCACGTATCTATTAACGTATCTAACCCTGAAAATATCCACGTATCTCTCCACGTATCCAACCACGCATCTCTCCATATAACAATCCACGCATCCATTCACGGATCTATCCAAGTATCTATTCACGTATCCAACCACGTGTCTATCCACGTATCTATCCTGGTATCCAGCCACGTAACAATCCACCTATCCAAAGACGTATGTATCCACATATCAATACACGTATATATCCACGCATCCATCCACGTATATATCAACGTATCTATCCGCGAATCTATCCACGTATCTTTTCCTTTTTCAATCAAGGTAGCAATCCACATGTCTAACCGCGTATCTTTCAACGAATCAATCCACTCATCAATCCACGTATCTATAAACGCGTCTAACCCTGAAAATATCCACGTATCTATCCACGTATCCAACCACTCATCTATCCATATAACAATCCACGCATCCATTCACGGATCTATCCAAGTATCTATCCACTTATCCAACCACGTGTCTATCCACCTATCTTTCCATTTATCCAGCCACGTATCAATCCACGTATCAAAAGACGTATCTATCCACATATCAATACACGTATATATCCACGCATCCATCCACGTATATATCAACGTATCTATCCCAGAATCTATCCACGTACCTATTCACCTTTCAATCCAGGTAGCAATCCACGTGTCTAACCGCGTATCTTTCAACGAATCAATCCACACATCAATCCACGTTTCTATTAACGTATCTAACCCTGAAAATATCCACGTATCTATCCACGTATCAAACCACGTATCAATCCACGCATCAATCCACGTATCTATCAACTGTTTATATCCACGTATATATCCACGTATCCAACCAGGTATTTATCCACGTACCTATCCACATATAATTTCACGTAACTATCCACGGTTCTCTCCACCTATCTGTCCAGGTATCCAGCCACGTATCAATCCACGTATCAAAAGACGTATCTATCCACATATCAATACACGTATATATCCACGCATCCATCCGCGTATATATCCACGAATCTATCCACGTATCTATTCACTTCTCAATCCAGGTAGCAATCCACATGTCTAACCGCGTATCTTTCAACGTATCAATCCACTCATCAATCCACGTATCTATTAACGCGTCTAACCCTGCAAAATATCCACGTATCTATTCACATTTCAAACCACGTATCAATCCACGCATCAATCCATATATCTATCCACGGTTCACTGCACGGATCTATCCACATATCCAAAGACGTATCTATCCAGGTATCCAACCACGTTTGTATCCACGTATCTATCCAGGTATCCGGCAACGTATCAATCCACGTATCCAAACACGTATATATCCACATATCAATCCATATATTTATCGACGCATCCATCCACGTATATATCAACGTATCTATCCGCGAATCGATCCACGTATCTATTCACTTTTCAATCCAGGTAGCAATCCACATGTCTAACCGCGTATCTTTCAACGTATCAATCCACTCATCAATCCACGTATCTATTAACGTATCTAACCCTGAAAATATCCACGTATCTATCCACGTATCAAACCACGTATCAATCCACGCATCAATCCACGTATCTATCAACTGTTTATATCCACGTATATATCCACGTATCCAACCAGGTATTTATCCACGTACCTATCCACATATCATTTCACGTAACTATCCACGGTTCTCTCCACCTATCTGTCCAGGTATCCAGCCACGTATCAATCCACGTATCAAAAGACGTATCTATCCACATATCAATACACGTATATATCCACGCATCCATCCGCGTATATATCCTCGAATCTATCCACGTATCTATTCACTTTTCAATCCAGGTAGCAATCCACATGTCTAACCGCGTATCTTTCAACGTATCAATTCACTGATCACTCCACGTATCTATTAACGTATCTAACCCTGCAAAAT